GGTTCGAAATAACAAGCAGCACTTCACATACTCCCAGATAATGCTCTGGGTCGCATTTGATCGCGGCCTTCGTCTTGCAGATAAGAGATGCTTTCCATGTCCCAACCGCGCTAAATGGATGGAAGCAAGAGACAGAATTTATGAGCGTGTCATGGAAAAGGGTAAAATATGCAAGACTTCCAATGATGAACGGTGCTGACTGTCTACAGGATATAACGAGGAGATGAAGTGCTTTGTGCAAAGCTTTGAGAACAGAACTATGCTCGACTCTTCCATTCTAATAGCTCCTCTCGTATTTTTCATCTCACCCTGCGACCCACGTTTTCTCAACACTCTTGACCGTATTCTCTTACCTCCTGAAAAGGGCGGTTTGACAAGTACCGGCTTAGTATACCGATATGACACTGAACTGTCCAACGATGGTAAAGAATTCCACAGTTACTTCATTGAGACGCATTTGCTAATGAGAGGAAATCGCGATGTAGGAGTAGGCGGTCATGAAGGCGCATTTAGTATGTGTACTTTCTGGCTTGTCGAAGCCATGACCCGAGCAGCCGTCTACGAGCCGAAGTATCTGGTTAGGGCTGTAAACCTCTTTGAGAACATGCTCGGCTTCTCTAATCATCTCTGCATGTTCTCTGAGGAGATCGCAAGATCCGGGGAACAACTTGGCAACACACCTCAAGCATTCAGTCATCTAGCCTTAATCAGTGCGGCTTTTAACCTGGACCGTACTGCAAGGTAAAATGCAAGGGTGCCTCGGAAGGCAAGCCACAGACGCAGAGGGCTAGGTTTAGCATAATTGATTATTCACTCTATCATGGCCACTTCGAAGAATGCATGAGATTGTTTTGCTAATTGGGTTATTGCTACAAATGCGAGCCCATGCTCCGTAAAACGTGATTCGATCACCCATGAAGCTCTACAGATACAGAATCTCCAACCTCAATCGTCGGGTATTGTGACTCTTTTCTCGTTACGTCGCTTTCAGTGAAAGGATCATGTCGCATATGTACCCCAAAGTAAACTTTGCCATCGAAGCGCCTTGTCTTTGCAAGCGTAACAAACGGCTCTTCCTTCTTTTCGCCAGTTTCTTGGTCTATACATACCATCTGACATCTGCGGCATGCACCCAGAAGCTTGAAGTTCTGATGACCGATGCTCATAGAGTCCCAGCGATCCTCAGAAAAGGCTGGCTGGGCCTTAAAACCAGGAGCTTGTTCGAGTGTAATATTTGCCCGAAATGACTTCTCTTCAACCGAGCTTCCACCGCGGCCAGTGATTTCCTGGTTCAAAGCATCAACACTCGAACTGTGGATTACCAAGATAGGACTCTCATTAGAGAGAAGAATCTTGGCGGGTTTCTGCTGTTCAGAGTCTGAATCAGGAGGTGAAGGCACATCTGGGAAGGAACCTGGTAATGTGTGGATTTTCGTTGGTTGTTGATATCTTTGAATCTGAGCCTTCGAAAGACGGCTTTTCAGCCCCAGGCCTCCAGGGGGGAAGCGCGCCAGGACACAAGGAATCCCAAGAGAATTCGAAAAGAAAGAGTTAATTGTATCCGATGTATATATCTGTGTGGTCACCTTCTCACCACAAACTCTAGATGATTGCCTGTCAATACTGGAGTCAATGACAGAAGGGTCTGCTGATAAAGGTATGGATATCTGATTTGGTTGGCCGCTATGTTGTGTCCCATGATATGTGATGATGAGTTCGCCTTTGCCGAAATCTAATGTTGGTCTTAGCAGAGCCATCTTGGGACAGCGTTTCTGACTCAAAGCATGGCCTGAACCATGATGGACTAAGCACCATTCACGATCCCATGCTAGACCTTCTGGTCGAACCTCCCAAGGAACACCAGATGGGATCGAGTATCCGGCACAGCTTTTTATTGGGTAGATAGTGATAGTTTTGACCTTGAGTATGGAAGAATTCGGGACGTCGATGTATTTCTGGAGGCCCAGATCAGAACAAACGATTGGTACCGTTCTTTCTTGGTAGAACTCCTTAAGAAAAGCAACAAAGCCATCGACATCTGCCTTCGTGCTCATTGCACCTAAGCTAGCTCGAATGACACCCGTGGGCTTTCCGGACACGATATCATTGTCTGCACCGCAACGAAACCCGGCGGAGAAATTCTTCTTCATCTCCCAAGGTTGCAAGTCTAGGGCTGAAGCAATACCACCTGGGCTGCAAAGCCCACCGGTCCGAATGTGGATGTTTTTCAGATTCGCGAGTTTCTCAAACTCGGCCAGGCTTATCCAAGCACCCTGGCTATTCCTTAGGTTGAAAGAAACAACAGGCCCATTTCCAAGAGAGCTTTTGTCGCTAGATGTAGATGCATAAATTTTGCAAACCGGTGCACCGTTTGCATGGCGCATATTGCTCAATTCTCGGAACATGCGTTGGGTGAGGTATGAAGTGTGTGAGCTGATTCGATCCATAGAACCGAATAGTCGTCGATGTATATCCATGGCAATGTCGAGGGCCACTATGTTATGAAACGGAAGTGTCCCATCTTCTAACCTCTCATGGAGGAAATTCGATTTTGGAGCATGCCACTTCTCCTTTCCAGAAACAACCATGTCCACTGTACCTCCACCAAAATATCTGCGATTTTCAAACACCCATTCGGAAGAACGCTTCACTAGCAAAGCTCCAAGATCGGGAAATCCAAAAATCTTATACAAGCTGAAGACAGTGAAATCTGGCGCCAATTTCGGATCGCTGAAATCGAGATGGGATGTGGCAGCAAATGAGGAGGCGTCCAGTAATGTGAGGATTCGATATTGGGGTTTGCAATACAAGTTCCGTAAGTTTTTCGCCCATGTCAAAGGATATCTCTTGCCATCCATGTGGGATTGCGCAGGATAGGCAAATAGTGTTGTTGCTGACGAGTTACCGGTCATATCTCGGAACGGAGACTGTCCTTCAAGCCATGATTGAACATCATCATCGTCAACCGATGTACTATGAACAGCTTCCTCTCGAGCACCGACCAAGCTTGTGTGGCATCCTTGGTGATATGCATATAGAAAACCTTCTGGTTGAGTCCTTACAGCTTCAACAACGAGTTTGACTCCCGCTGTGGCATTGGCAACAAACACCACATCGTACTCAGTTGGATCCGCTCCAAAGAAGGTTAGTAAATTCATGCGAGCATCTTGAACGCGAGATGCTGATTGCTGTGAGGATGGTGATGCAGAGTGGGGGTTGCCATAGAGAACTGTCGTCATCTCGCGGGCGAACGAGTCCATCAATGACTTGGAACATAATGTTGTGCCAGCGTGATCAAGGTATATCGAATCTTTTGACAGGTCAGTACAGTTCAGAAGCATATCTAGGCATTATGACCTTGAATCATTGGATATTCAGCTTGTCTAAATTGCTCCACGGCTCGATTGTAGCTTGAGTTGCCACCCTGAATAGTCACAGTCATCTTGACAACTGATCTGCAACACAAGTAGAGTGAAGGGAAACCGAAATTCCCTGCGTTTCCTAGATTCTATAACACAAAAAGGTCAAGCACTTCCGGTGGATATTCAGAGCTTGTTATACGCCGCACAACCCTTATCATATACTGATGAGGAGTTCTAAGGCGCTATCACGAGCGATAGAGAGTGGGAGTGGGGTGAAGAGTGGAGGAGAAGACATGCTCGAACCAAGCCGAGGAGGGAAGTTGGTTATGATGTGAGGGTTTAAAGTTGCTCCAGTTCGGCCAAACAAGCTGTAAAACAAAAGGAGGAGATAGAACCGACGTGAGTATGACAATATCCGAACAAATAGACATCTTATCTTGGTCAGCTGCCTTGTTGTTCGCCGCCCTTTAGCAAGTAAACCACTGAGCATGTCGGGATATTCCCCCAGATTTCAATGCTAGTTGCAAGCGGAGATCGCCACTTTCCTGTTTCCAGGCACTGTATCTACATTCGCTGTTTGCCGACAGGCCTTTCCTTGTTGACTATTGGCCAATTTATTGCGGAGGACAGGCAGGTACATGGTTAGCCCAGGTAATTCACTGCTTCAAACTGTTTAATGGTTCTGGCATCAATTGTTGAAAACTCAATTGACAATATATCATGGTAGAGCAAATAAGATATGGAGTTTGGAGATCAAAGAAAGTGTCATCAAACTAGAGAAATATCTCAGCATATAACTCTGTGATTCACCAAAGGTACCCAGATTATATATGTATCGCGCTTATCCTAGAGCAGCCTCAAAGCCTCTCTAACCTCTCTCATTCTCGGCATAGAGGTCTTCTTAGCAGGCAGTGGAGGCCCCGTGGACCCCAGTGCTCCACCAATTCGCTTACCAGCTGAACTTCAATTCCGACTGGCCCCCAGCCAACCAACCAACTCAGCCTCTTCAACCTCACTTCACTCTATCACATCAAATCGCATTGAATTGTTATCGGTGTGAAGTGAGGGCGCGCATCTCTCGACTCAAGCGCTATCACTACATTGAATCCTTATTCAAGATCGCGCTTGTCAATTAGTTTGTCTCCCCATATTCTTTGATCTCCTGCTCTTTTTTCCCCCTTATCCCTCTTGCAGCTCTTCCAACTCGTCGATCCAGCCGCATCCGCAGCCTCGCGTTCTCCCTTCCTCCTCACCCCTTGACGCGACATACCTGTCTGCGATTCTCAAACCATTCTTCTCAATTCTTCTTATTCCCATCCTTCGCTCAGGGCGCGTTGTCCCCCAACTTTCTTCTTCATGGCGCCTCTTTGGCAACCTTCTTTTTCTTGTTCTCTCCACTACCATTTGTCCATACGTTGCTCAAGATAACATCTCTAACATCGATCATGTTGCGAAACAATAGATAATTCCTTTGCATACCTCGCCAGTCGCGCAATATCGAGCTGCGAAGACTCACGCAGAAATCTCGCTTTCTTTCATGCCGCGTCGCGTCGCTGGCAACGATATAAACGATGGACTCGTACACTTCTTTCCGGGACGCCTCGGCTCGTTCTCCGGTTGATCGCAGTTGGAGTCGAGATGACTCGCGTACCCGAGATGAGCGTCCTGATCGCGGGGACTCGTTTTACCGTGGAAGATCTCCAGGTTCGTACTCCGAAGACGCTTTTGCTTCCTGCCACCAAGCAGTGGCAGGCTTCAGCACTGTCAACCTAGACAAAGCTTACAAGTCCCCAGGCCACGACCGTCGCGACCGCCGTCGGTCTCGCTCCCCAGCTACTGTCGATCGCTACGAACCCCGACCCCGACGAGATGACCGGGACCGTGATGATAGACGTCGCATGCAGTCGCCACCCGCCAATATTGATCGATACGTACCCGGTCAGGATTCCGGGTCGAGTAATCCAACTGTTAACCCCCTCCCCGACCCTGCCAAGCTCCATTACCAAGTTGGCTTCTCCTACTTTGGAGAATGGTGGAGAATGAATGAGAAGATCAAGGAGGAAAAAGAGCGAATGCGTACTGGCCGACGCCGTGAACCGGAACGGGTTCGTGGCCCAGAAGATCGCGAAAAGGAGAAAGCCAGGATCCAAGCTGCCTACGATGCGTATAAAGAAGAACTTCAAGCCAGGATGGCACGGACATTTGTTTCTGAACATAAGAAAGAGCAATGGTTCAAGGAGCGATATGTTCCTGAAATTCGTGACGATTTCAGAGGAAAGCTGAACGAATACCGACGCGGTGCTTACAGTCAGTGGGAGCAAGATCTTGAGTCGGGTACTTTTGATGACTTTTCTCTTGAGGGTCTCCCTAAGAGTGAGAGTAACGGCAGTGGTGGCGTAGTTGAAAAGGAAGAAGGGGAGGCCACAGCCACAAACGAGATCCTGGGTGTTGGAGATCTGGTTCCAGTCAACGGTGCTGACATCCGCGACGAGAGCCAGTTCCAGCCAACCCTCTTGATCAAGACCATCGCCCCGCATGTTAGCCGCCAGAACCTCGAGGCCTTTTGTAAGGAGCATCTCGGCGAGGAGGAAGGTGGCTTCAAGTGGCTCTCTTTATCTGATCCCAACCCCAGTAAGCGGTACCACCGTATTGGTTGGGTCATGCTCCACCCTTCATCCGAAACAGCACTCCCTGTAGACCGTGTTGAACCCAAGGATGAGGATGGCGACGAGGCGATAACATCGCCTCAGCCGGTATCTACTGCCGACAAGGCTCTGGAGGCCATCAACGGTAAGACTGTCAAAGATGAGGTCAGAGGAGACTTTGTTTGCCATGTTGGGGTTCATAACCCACCTGTCCATCCCCGGAAGAAGGCCCTGTGGGATCTCTTTTCCGCTCCTGAGCGCATCGATAAGGACCTCTTGCTTGTTCAGCGAATTGTCAACAAGTTTGAGGAAGAATTCGGATCTGATTTCCAAGCCACTTTGAAAATTGAAGAAAAGGTCGAAGACCTCAGAAACGCGGGTCAGCTCCAACCGGCTGTGGTTCCGACCCCTGTCAAGAAGGTCAAGAAGATCAGAGAAGTGGGAATGGACGAAGCTATGGATGAGGAAGAAGACGGCGTTATTGAAATTGAAGAGGAAGAGGAGGAGGAGGAGGGAGCCGTAGAAGATGAAGAAGTTGACGACGAGGATCTCTTGGTCAAGAAGAAGCAACTTGATCTCTTGATTGAATATTTGCGTCGCGTCTTTAACTTCTGCTTCTTTTGTGTTTTCGAAAGCGATTCAATTCACGAACTTACACGAAAATGCCCTGGTGGCCATTTGCGCCGACCTCGCAGCACACTTTCGTCTGCCGCAAAGGCTGTTGCCAGAGCCAGTGCCAATGGAGAACCATTCCCAGGCAAGAAAAGGGGCGAAGGGGCAGAAGATACCGAGGGCGAGCTTACTGAAGGTGAAAAGAAGTTTCGAAACGCTTCAAACAAGACTGAGCAGCAACTCCTTCGGGCGTTCAACTGGGTTAAGACATTCGAAGACAAGCTTACCCAGATTCTGGACCCTCAATCTGTCGACATTCGAAAGTTGGGTGGTCGACCTGCTGATGAGGCTGTCGAAGAAGAGCTTCTCAAACACGTGAAGCAAGAGGATGAACACAAATGGCGGTGCAAAGCTCCCGAGTGCTCCAAGTTGTTCAAGGAAGAGCATTTTTGGCGTAAGCACGTTGAGAAGCGCCACGGTGATTGGCTTGATAACCTGAGGCAAGAGGTACGTTCTCGCCTCGTCGCATTTCGCCATACTTTACTAACCAAGATATTTAGTTTGAACTCATAAACTCATATGTGATGGACCCCTCTCACATTGCACCCTCCAGAACTGACGCAAACTCAAATGGCCACTTCCCGCCTTCCAATGGCCAATCCAGCAGTGGAACACCACGAGGCTTCAACCTGCAGAACTTTACCATGAATGGTATGATGGCAGGTATGCCCGGCTTCCCCATGGCTCCAGGCAACTTCTCGCCTATGTTTGCAAACATGCAATCCGGAAGCTGGAACCCTATGGACGAACGCTCTGGCGGAGGACCTATCCGTCGCGGAGGAATGGGTGGTGGACGGGGCCAATACCGTTCTGGACCTTATGATCGCCGAGGCGGCAACCGTTTCGATGGTGGCCGTAACCGCAACGGCGGATCACGCTGGGGTGACGGTGCTGGAGGCGCTGCGGGCGGTCCTCGGGAGGCAGTCCAGGGCCGAAGCCTCAAGAGTTATGAAGATTTGGACCAGGTTTCAGGTGGTGGAAGTGGTGAGCTCAACTACTAAACTGCTCAAGATGCTTTCCTTCGAAAGCAAGGCGATTTGGACGCTTCGGAGTTTGTTGCTTTTCTTAATATCAATCACTAGGTACATGGATCCTGGGAAGGTCGCTGCTTTTAGACTCTATGTATCATACGCTACAAACGTTGCTCTCATGGCGATTTTTTGATGGACAAATAGTCCTCAAAATAGCAGTTACCTACAGAATGCTTTGTTATATACATTTTTTGCTCCCTATTCTTGTGCTCAAGGACCCCTAGAAGGTGATTATAATAAGTTATGCACATCCTCTCGCAGGCGTTAAAGGTGCTGATGCAATTTCGAACGGAGCAAACGAGTGCTTCATACATGCTGAATCTATTTATCTTAAGTTGTTATAATGCAGAAGCGCTCCTGCTCCTCATTTTCAAACCTTCATGGCCGGTACAACCTTATCCCTATCTAGTAGGTTGTGAAAACGTTTATCAACTTTGATCCAGTGTTAAAAAGTGATCGCCTTATTGAAAGAGCCTGTTGAGTTCACACTACACTATCTGGACTATCCTACTTCTTTTTATTAGGATTAAGGTCCTAAGTTTTCCAGATCCCCTAACATATTCATTGAATTCTCGGTGAGCCTCGGTGAAGATAAGCTAGCGCAGAGGTTTGGGGCGCTCTTGTCCCTTGCCTGGCCAATAGTATTCTGCGATAAGATATTTTCGCGGCCACACATCCCCACCGCCCACCTTTTTTTTCTGTCGGGTCGTCCAACTTTACCATCGTGAACGTGTTGAGCGATCGGATCTTTCAAGAGTTCAAAGTCGCAAAAATGGGACTCCTCGCAGAAAATAAGACGTAAGGGACACGTTTTATCAAGCAGTATTTGTCGAGAGCATGCGCTAACTTACTACAGTCGACGAAAGATCAACAAGGATCCCAACAATACAAAATGGACTAAAGATACGAATACCTTCGGACAGAAGATCCTGCGAGCTCAAGGCTGGCAACCGGGCCAGTTCCTCGGAGCCCAAGATGCGCCGCACTCGGAATTACACACGGCTGCCAACGCCTCATACATTCGCGTGGTTCTTAAGGATGACATGAAGGGATTGGGCTTCAGCAAGTCGAAGGAGGATGAAGTTACTGGTCTAGATGTCTTTCAAGATCTGCTCAGCCGACTCAATGGAAAGACGGATAATGCCATCGAGGAGGATCAACAAGCGCGACTCGCTGTGAAGACGCACCACTTTGTCGAGCAACGATACGGAGCCATGAAGTTCGTGTACGGTGGTCTACTGGTGGGCGATGAGATGAAGGGAGTGGAAGAGAAGAAGGCCGAGCAGCAAACAGAGTCGAACTCCGACGAGGACGTTGTCATGGAATCCGCCCCTGCACCAAAAGAATCCAAAAAGGAGAAGAAGTCTAAGAAGAGAAAGGCAACCGATGACGAGGATGAGGAGGAAACTTCAGGTCGAGAAACCGATTCAAAGAGCAAGAAAAGACGCAAGGAAGAGCGAAAGCTAAAAGAGGGTGATTTTGACGACTCCAGGGAAAAGAAGAAGAAGAAAGAGAAGTCCCGCAAAAAGTCCACAGAGGACATCTCAGACGACGAGAACGCCGAAGAGCGCTCCAAGAAGCGAAAGTCCAAGTCCAAGGATAAGAGCCGGTCTCCTGAGGGCTCAGATGAAGAAAAGGTGAAGGACAAGAAGTCTAAGAAAGAGAAGAAAGAGAAGAAGAAGCGCAAGAAGGAGGAGCAAACATCTGAATCAACCAGCACATCCGTCACACAGAACTCTACGCCCACGGCTTCGGTTCCTGGAACAGGAGCCACAACGCCGTCTGGCACATCGACGCCTCGAGGGAGCCGGAACTTTGTGCGGTCACGATTTATTGCGCAAAAGAGACAGGCTGTGCTGGATACCAAGGCACTGAACCAGGTATGTACTGCTTATTTCTACTAATTCATGGCGACTTTATTAACTTTATACAGATTTTCATGGTCAAAGCATAGAATATGTGGATGTAGACGGGTTGCTTGGATACGCACTTAAAAGCGCCTAGATGGTTGAAGATCTGTAGATCATGACTGTCGGATATGGGGATGTATATGGCATCGTTGCAAAAGGCGTCAGGTCGCATGGTAATATTAGAAGAATCTATTACATTTTGAAGCAGTGGAACTGGAGTCTCGCGGAAAAATATGTCCATCACCAGGGTCAGCTTTGATTTGGTGAATAACATGATTCACTACCATGTGTAACGGCAATAAGGTATAAGTCCTATACCAAGTTCCAAGTCTGAATATCTCGGTTACACATACACATCACGAAAAATTCTCTACAAAGGAGGAATAACTAGTAAGTTGGATCACATTATTGCGTTCTGCTGTGCTACTCCAGCACCTAAACTGGCTTCACATCAACTCCATAGCCTAATTACCAATCGCAAGAGAAACAATACTAGGGGGCCCATTCACCCCGCAATCCGCCATCATGATACTAATAATACAGTGAACAATGCCTTCAATTTGTCATGATTCTCATTTCATTTATTTAGCAGCGTTCTTGCCAAAGTTGCTACAGTGGTTGTCAGTATAAGAGTCGGGTGTTGATGTGACAATAGTGACGTACTTGTGAAAGAACTGGCTGAACAAGCCACCCTTTGCCTGTTGGTCTGACATACTCGCACGACGGGCAGCGTTGGCATCGCCGGCTCGCTTCTGTTCGCTGAGACTGGCGAAGGCTGGCATGAAGCCTGAGCTCTGTTGATTCTTGTGTTAGTATATTGATGTGTATAAAAGTGGTGTAAGAAGGGACGTACTCGGCGACGACCGCTGACATTACCAGTGGGAGCAGTCTGGGGAGCACCGGAATCCATGTTGATGGTTATTTGGGAGTGATTGATGCAAGTGATGAGATGATAGCTGGAGTTGGATATATATCCTTCGTTGTTATCGTCAGACAGTGGTGTTTGGTTGTATAGTGTAGTTCGAAGAATTGGAGAATTCAGGCAAGAGGAGGGGAGCAGCTGAGTTTATATCTTGTGAGAGGAGGAGAGATCAGACCAGCTCACGTCGATCCATGGACCTTTCCTTTCCTCTCCTCCTGCAGCAAAGGGTAAGAGCGAGTGCTACTCTGCCTAAGCTAGGGATGTCTCGACCAAGCCAGGGCTTGATCTCGCGTGCCACGGGGAGGGAAGTCAATCACCCATCATCACTACAGAACTGCAAGCGAACTGACCAATAGATGCATCAATACATAAGCTTTTGCCGGACATCCCATCCAGACGTGCTGGCCATCCTTTTTGGAGCATAGCCAACCAGGCCATGACAAAAGTGGCGTCCCCATTAACCTCTGTTTTGCTGTCTGCGACAGTTCCCTCAGGGAGCTGTTACGATCAACCAGGGCGTTGCGATCGTCAGATACTGGAACAGCTTTCCTACGAATCTCATGGAAAATTTTGAGGGAGACAAAACGGTGAAATGATGGGTATCTCGCTTATGAATAGTGAGCATCATGACTCTTTGATCCCTTAACTAAGACCGCTGATCCCTCCCCCCAAACTTCCAAACGCGGAGAACCTGGGAAGTCTTGTCAATACCTCAAAGCAGAGCTGAGAGAGGTCACACCACCCATCAACTTGGCAGGGGAATTACAAACACCAGTAACTTTACGCGGGGAAGGACGCCACGGGCGTTTACTGTCCCCAGGCCGCAACCGACAAATAGCTATCATGCATATGCCAATGCTTGCAGCGTTGCATTTTACAAAGTTCATGAGGATCAATTGCCTACTTTGAGCTGCTTGCTCGATTCCTCCAGACGCGGGGGGTGATATGATGCTGTGAGAGATAGATACATCGGTACATGGTGCGGGCACATTTCGATAGCCGTGATGAATAACAGACGTCAAAGTCGTCTCTGGATCTCAATGACGAGGTTTGAAGTGGGTGCACCCGTCCTGGCATGCAGACACGCCGGGCGGGGGCTCAAGGGACGTGGGGCCGATCTATTCGGAGCTGTGGGGCCCAAGAGACAAAGTGACAAGGAAAGGAAGGTGCCGAAAGCGGGGACCAGCAGCAGTCAACTTACAGTCGTGAATTCATTTCATGCCATCAATCACATGAACAAGAATCAAGCTGATAAGCACCAACACCAGACGCATTAGGTTACAATCTCAACTGCCGAAAAACGTCAAAATCAAGGGGTCCAACTGTCGTGTGCATAATCACCGTCAACGACGTGAATGGCTTCGTTACTTGTGGGGCACTATCTCTGAGACAAGCTTCACTGACGACACGACTCCATCTTAAGCCTCGATTCCCGTCTCTAGTCAGGGTCTCTCCTCATCAGTCACCATCTCGCCAGGGGACCCCTAATCTCAGATCCAGAGCCAGATCCAGACGTATGCTTAAACGGCTTTTCCAGTTTGTTTCTTATTTCGTCTAGTCATGATACTACCAGCTGCACCGGGTCCTCTAGATGCCGCCCTCTAACACCCAACACGCATCATACGTATCCTGCCTTTGTTCTTATTTTTACCTAGCATAGATCCATAAAAAACTTTTACTCCTTCTCTAATCTCACCGCAGGGTTCCGCTCGATAAAGTTGAGATCAACCTTGTGGCCCAGCAGCTCTCGGATGTTAGAGATCTTGTACTTGATCATGGTCGGTCGCTCCAGGGACAGACCCCAGCCAAACACCCGCATGTCCTTTGGCAGACCCATAGGCTCCAGCATTTCTGGTCGGAACATGCCACTGTTTCCGATCTCCACCAACTTGCCCAGACCCTCATGGTAACTGAAGATCTCCATACTGGGCTCGGTGTAAGGGTTGTAAGCGGGCTTGAACTTGAGGTTGGTGATGCCCATCTTGGCAAAGAAGACTTCCATGAACTCCATCAAACCACCAAGAGTAAGGCCGTAGTCGGCGATAACACCCTCAACCTGGTGGAATTCGGCCAAATGGGTTGCGTCAACTGTCTCATTTCGGAAGACACGATCAATAGAGAAGTACCGTGCTGGAGGCGGGCGTCCATCGGGTCCCTTCTGCGCTGCTAGCTTGTACAGCATGGCTGTTGAAATAGCAGTAGTGTGGGTTCGGAGCACCAGTCTCTTAGTCTCCTCCGCTGACCAGGGGTATCTGTAACCAATTGACCCAAACTTGCCGTTTTGGTGAACTTGCTTGATGTTCTCCCAGTACTCTTCTGTGTTCTGTCCTTCCTCCGATCGTGGCGCGTCTCCCACCTTAGGGTCTGAGATGTAGAAGGTATCCTGAAGATCACGGGCGGGGTGCTGCTGCGGCACGAAGAGGGCGTCGAAGTTCCAGAATCCAGTCTCAACAAACTTGTTGGTAGGCATCTCCTCGAAACCCATCTCGAAGAAAATCTGTCGGAATTCGTGTCGGACTTTATTCAGGGGGTGCAGTGCGCCGGCATTTTGGTCCGCGCCGAGAGCCTTGAAGTTGTAGGGCTTGAAATTGGCAGTCTTCCATGATCCAGAAGCAATCATATCGGCTGTCAAGTCGGTCTCCTCCTTTTGAATCTCTAGGGCGAACTTGGGTCCCTTCTCAATCTTGAAGCTGATAACCTTTTGCATCTTGATCAGCTTTCGCTTTCGCAAGTCAGTCAAGATTTTGGGCTCGTGTGTCCGGGTCTCCTTGATCTTCTGTAGCTGCGCTCGGGTGACATCTTCGATCGACTCAGCCTGTTACTTGAGGTTAGCCAACAATTGACCCCAAATCCACATATAGCACTTATGAGCTCGACATACAGTAGCGACCAGCTTGCCGTCGGCGCTCTTCTTAATCCACTTCTCCTTGAAAGCCTTGCCCTGTCCAACCTTGGTGACCGTCTTGTCGCCAATGGCCTTCTCAAGGTCCTGAATCGACAAACCCTCCACGGCGTTTCGAAGCGCCTCAAAAACACGCGCCTCATGACTACCATGCTCGGCAATTTGCTCCGCTTCGGGCTCAAGGATAGCCTCTTCCTTATCAATTGTCTCGTATGTGATCATAGATCGTGAAGCCAGACGATCAAGGGCAGCCTTGATTTCCTGGAAGGCGATGGCGGGGAAGGCCTCTGAGGAGAGCAGGGGGCTCTTTTCCGACAGGGCCTGAAGGATCTGGGAGGTGAGATCCCCCGAGGGAGCGGAGCTTGAAGTCGTCATGTCGGCGGATTTTGGGTTGTGAGGAGCCAAGACGAAGTAGTGAGTTGGCTCTTCTTCAGCTGTCGTTGTTCGTCTGAGTCACGGCGGGCAGAAATTATTTGGGCCGTTGGAGTGCTGCATCGCCCACCACAGCGGTCCGATGGCGGGGTACTCTGGCAGGTACTTGTGGTAAGGTACATGTCCCGCCATGTTCGGGCCATTCTTTTTCCGGTCAGACTACCTGAGGTAGGTCGCAGGTAGGTAAGGTATGGATGTGTCTGCCGATGCATCTAAGCCCTGGGGCTGTTACGTATAATCCCTGCAATCTTATCATGGCGTCTCAAGTCGCCTCATGCTCCAACAAGTCACTTCAATTTACAAGCTTGTTGTAGCCGATATCTTGCATTCTCATAGCGCCAGTCGAAATTGCATTACTATACACACTTTGAATCTATTAGACAACTCTCTGCTGCTATCATACGCCGTCCGCGAACACTTCATGAGCCACACGTGCTTCTCCTGAGCTATCACCCTGCTCATGCAGAACTAGCTCCCCTACAGATGCAGACACAGATGACGATACTCAAGAATGAGCGATGATGCCTCGCCGAGCTCTACGGCGCCGAACGAAGTCCCCCCAGCCGAACCAGTCAATGTTTCATCCGGCAGCCGTGTCACATGGAATCTACCACGCGAGCATTCGAGATCAGCTCGGTCGCGCGCCCAGTCGCACTCTCAGCGTCGCAAGAAGAAGAAGAGCAGGAAGAAACGCAACCCTGGATTAGCGAGAAAGTTGGAATTTGTCACACATTTGCTCAAGAGTCTTGATACCCTGGTTTTCGCGGAGCTAAGTGGACTGTACTATATGGAGTATGTTCGACTACTTGCACATCTTTCCTGAACTCCGCTTACCTGTGATACCCCTCTAGGTGCTCAATGTTTCGATTCATCCTAAGATCTGTTGGCCAGTACTTGTATCTCACGCCGAAGGATGAAGCATTTCCTTTTCTAATGCCTGCGAGTCCCATACATGTGTGTCTGGTTCTTATTCCCAATATCATCTGCATACTTCTGCATATCTTTGTTTCTCTGCCAGTCGGTCCTGACTACCACCGAGGCTATATGCACGGTGGCCTGGTCATCGACTTCATCGGGCAAAAGCCCCCCACCTCTCGCGTTTACTATATTTTAGCGGATGCCATGATACTCGCCGTTCAATGTCTAATGCTGACGGTCCATACTGAGCGGGAGAGACTACGGGTGACTCTTAAGACCTTCCGACCTATGGTACCTGATTTGGCTCAGGAGATGGGTCCCACGATAGAAGATTTGGATGCGGAAGAGCGTGGAGTATCAAGGGACATGCCAGGCTCATTACCAGCTGATGAGGAGGACGGCATCGAGTTGCAACCCTTGCGACGTACCAGTACAAACGAGGAGGCCAACTCAACGTCGGGAGAATCAGAGCCGTCGGCCAGAGAGCCACTCATTGATGAGCCAACACGGTCACATCTGTCTGATGTCCTGAGTTCCGGAAATGCAATCATCGGCGAATATCATGTTCTTCACTCACTTCATAATGCAGCGTTGAACATTGAGAGAACAGCCGCATATTCTCTCCGTACAATTAGCTACGGAGCAACTATGGCTTCCATTGAAGCGCGAAGGCGAGGCCTCAATGTACCAGCTCGAACAGTTCAGAATGATAGACAATGATATCATTTTAGCGAATTTAAATTATCTTCAAGGTCCTGATTTGAAATATAGAAATGGATTACTCTGTGCTTTTACGCTATCTTTCTTCCAACATTACCAACGCCAGTACCTTTAACAGAAACAATGA